ATTTTCTGCAGTTTGCTTTTTCTAAACTTAGTAAGTCTTAGACATCTTTTTATTCAGGATATGTATATAAGTGTTATTCTTTTAAAAGTATCTGTGTAGTATTTCTGTTGCACAAATGCTTGGTAATTTATTTAACTTATTTTTATGGATGGGCATTTAAGTTATTTCCAGGGTTTCAGTATTATAATAGTGCTGTACAGAATATCCTTGAAACAGTATCATTGCTTACTTGTGCTAGTGTACTTGTAGGATACATTCTTAAAAGTGAAATTGCTGAGTCAAAGAGTTTTTGCATTTAAAATTAAGATATTACTAAATTTACTTCTCAAAATGTTACACCAGTTTACATTCCCATCTATATTATTGCCCCATACTCTTGCCAATGTGTCTTCACCAATTTTTTTTTTAAACTTGCAATTTATGGGAGTAAAACACATAGCATAAATTTGTCCTCATAAATTATAAGTGAGGTAGAGAACTTTTAAAATATACTTACTGACTATATATTTCTTTCTTTAAAAGCTCTGTTCATGTGCTTTGCCCATTTTTGTTCCCTATCTGTTGGCTATTTTTTTCTTTTCTTTTTTTTTTTAAAGAGCTCTTTTCTACTAAGGAAATTAATCCTCTGATTATTATGTACTGTGAATATTTTTAGCTTGTTATTTGTTTTTTGACTTTGCTTATGGTGTGCCTTGCCACATTTAGTTTTTATCAATCACATATTTTATTGCTTTTAGATTTCTTGTCATGTTATACATCATCTAAGATTATGAAAACGGAAGACAAATTTTTTATTTAGGTTTTTCGGATTCAAATATTTGATCCATTTGAAATTTATTTTTAATAATAAGTGTTAGAGGTCTCTAGTATAGTTTTTCAAAATGGCTAGCTAGGTTGTTTCAATGTTATCTATTAGCTCTTCTTTTCTGTATGAGTATTTGTATACTGACCCTGTTTCTAGTTTAGAATCCATTTTTTAAAATATATTTTATTTATTTTTTTACAGAGAAGAAGGGAGAGGGAATAGAGAGTTAGAAACATCGATGAGAGAGAAACATCGATCAGCTGCCTTCTGCACACCCCCTACTGGGGATGTGCCTGCAACCAAGGTACACGTCCTTGACCGGAATGGAACCTGGGACCCTTGAGTCCGCAGGCCAACGCTCCATCCACTGAGCCAAACCGGTCAGGGCAGAATCCATTTCTTTATGGTCACACAGACATGTGATTAGTTGAGATTTTTAGAAGGTTTTTGAGGTCAGTGGAGCAATAAAAGGTGATAGACTAGAACCATTTTATCTCCCTTTTTAAAAAAAAATATTTTATTGATTTTTTACAGAGGACGGGAGAGAGATAGAGAGTTAGAAACATCGATGAGAGAGAAACATCGATCAGCTGCCTCCTGCACATCTCCCACTGGGGATATGCCCGCAACCAAGGCACATGCCCTTGACTGGAATCGAACCCGGGACCCTTCAGTCCACAGGCCGACGCTCTATCCACTGAGCCAAACCGGTTTCGGCTTATCTCCCTTTTTTGTTTTAAAGATAGATAAATATCTTTCAAGGAATAGTTCTAAATCCAGTAGTTCTTTATCTGGACATAAAAATACCTTTCCATGTGACTCTTAGATTACTGATATCTCTGGAGGGCAAGGCGAGACTGGGATGGCCTTCTAAGGCAGCAATTTTCAAAGTTTTCTCATACCACAGCACAAGTTAAGTAATTACTAAAATTCTTGCAGCACACCAAAAATACATTTTTTGCTGATCTGACAAAAAATAGATATAATTTTTATTCTTTCACACTGGATGGTTACTGTTGTGTTGGCTTTTTTTTTTTTTTTAATTTGACAATTTAAGGGAAAAGAGGTCAGTACCTCTGACTAAATAGTCAGATATTGAATGTTTTAGAAATTCTTGCAGCATACTGGTTAAAAATCTCTCTTCTAAGGCATACTTATTGAGAGTTTTTAAGAAAGTGATTAGGATTTTAAAATGAGTTTGAACCTCTAGGCAATAAAAACCTGTTAGTGCCTACGCACTAGCTAATTCTGTACTTGCTACAAGGAGACAAAGAATATGTTTGTTAAAATAACTGAAACGAAGAAATGGTTATTAGTCACTGCTTAGTACTCTAGTCATCTTTAGGAATTTAGTCACTACAGGCCTTGATTGTTTTTATTTTTAACTTTTTTATGATGCACAATGCATGACTAGGGCACAGAGACCCCTAGTTTTACTTCTTTGCTCAGTTACTTACTGGCTATGTGACTTGTGGTCAAGTTTTTTCATTTCTTTGATTCTTAGTTTCTTCATTTTTTAAAATAGATATGAAGCCAACTCTTTTGCTTATCTACTGGGTTGTTATAAAGAATAAATGAGATGATGCGTGATAAATAGTTCATAAATGTTGGCATTTGTAGCAGGTTTAATGAGGATGAAGATTTAGAAATTTGGGCTCCATAGTAACCCCTGAAGGAGAAGAGCTGCAGAAATAGGTTGGGAGTGAATAGCTAGTAAGAAAGTGAAGATGGGAAGTGTAAAGCACTTTGCTAGTGTGATCAGAGAATTGCACAGGTGGAATTTCTTTGTTGCTAGTGGGAGTAGGGCTCTTGGGATGCTGCTGGAATAAGAATTTCCAGAGGCCCCCACGGGAGGATGAGATGTGGTAGAAAGCTTTATTTGTGTGGAGTTATAGCCCTCGGTTTCTAGAGTCCCGATTTCCTTGAACCAGTCCTGGAAACAGTGCAGTGCAGCTGGGGACCCAGCAGAGCTGAAAGCAAAGCCATTCTATGATTTCTTCAAGAATTATTCAAAAAAATTTTAACGAGAGCTTATTTTATATATATATATTTGATTTCAGAGAGAAAGGGAGAGAGAGATAAAAACATCAATGTTGAGAAAGAGAATCATTGATCAGCTGCCTCCTGCATGCCCCACACTGGGGATTGAGCCTGCAACCCCAGCATGTGTCCTGACCGGGAGTCAAACTGTGACGTACTGGTTCATAGGTCGATGTTCAATCACTGAGCCATGCCAGCTGGGTAATACTTACGTGTTTTTGATTATGGCCATCCTAGTGCATAGGAAGTGAAATTTCACTGTGGTTTTGATTTGCATTACCCTGATGACCAGTGATGTTGAACATCTTTTCAAGTTGTATTGACCATTTCTGTATCTTTCTTGGAAAAGGGTCTGATCAGACACATTGCCTATATTTAAATTGGATTATTTGTCTTTATATTTGAGTTGTAAGGATTCTTTATATATTGTGGCTGCAAGATCCTGATTATATTTTCTAGTCCGCCCCTGCCTCCCCACCCCCATTTTGTGGCTTGTCTTTTTATTTTCTTGATAGTGTCCTATCTTTTGCAGCAAAAAAAGTTTTTTTAAAGATATTAAAGTCCAGTTTATCTATTTTTTAATGTTGCTTGTGCATTTTATTAGTCACAGTTGCAGGATCCACTCAGAGAATCTAATTTCCCATGTTGTCAGAATTGTATCTCATTGCATTATATGATTAATATATAGTTGTAATTACTGTGTATACATATAGTAGTTTTGGTTTTTCTACTTAGCATTTTTATATATACATTTCCTTCTGTTTATATTACTCATGCTTCATGTTTTATGGTAGTACTGTAGTTTACTTAGTCATCCTTTCTGTTTGTTTGGTTTTCAACAACATGATTTAAATAGTGCTGGTAAAAAGAAAAAATTGTGCTGGTATCCATCAACTTAAAGCTACTTTTTTTTCCTTAGGCCAGGTTGACATAAGAGAGTTAATTGCAAAGAAAAAACAGTTGACAGCAGAGGCAGAGGTAAGTAACTCCCTCTTCTAGAAACAAAAATGTAGAGTGTGCTCTGGCTGGTTTTGCTCAGTGGATAGAGCGTCAGCCTGTGGGCTGAAGGGGCCTAGGTTCGATTCCCGTCAAGGGCATATGCCCAGGTTATGGGCTTGATCCCCAGTAGGGGGCCTGCAGGAGGCAGCCAATCAATGATTCTCTCTCATCATTGATGTTTCTATCTCACTCTCATTCTTCCTTTCTCTCTGGAAAAAAAAAGAGTGTTAGGGTAAAGAGTTTTGTTTAGTAAATTTTTAATGATAAAGTCTTTAAAGAATTATTTATCTTTCTTATCAGTTAACATTGTCTGTCCTTCTGTGGAGCAGGAGCGTAAGTTCTGCTACCTTGTCATTCTGTATAAGAACCAGGTTGCTCTTTTCTATCCCATCCGTCACTGTCATTTTTCTGACTTTGACCAGCAAAGCTGGGTTTTAGTGAAGCATGTTAAAGTTGAATTTCTGTATGATTGTCTGTGTAGGAAATCACAGGCTTCCAGTAAATGATCCATCTGAATCCAGAAGCAGAGGGAAAATATCAACTCAAAAACAACCACGTGGAGCCATTTCACGCTGAGCAAGCAGTCTGTAAATCAGAATTGAGCAGTTCCCTCAGGGAATTCTGGAGGACAAAGAACAATTTTAAAAAATCCTGTGTGTGCTTGAATGTAAGTTGACTTCAAGGCAGCCTCCCCTTTTTCTGAGATTACTTTAAGAATTTATTGGCCAACATGAATATCTAAATATCCAATGCTATAGATGAAATAGCCCTGTTCTTTTCTATTAATTTAGTGACATGTGCATGCATGTACATATGCACTTATTTAGAATAACAAATTTAGAAATTTTTATTTTTTAGCATCATATTTATATGGGGTTCTTGGACCCAGCTCTAACTTGGGAGTGTAGGTTCCCTCCACGCTAACAAGCACTTCTTGGATGCCAGTAAGGGAGTCTCAAGAATTCAACTAAATTCTGATACTGTCTACCTGGAGATAAAAATCAAATTCTGCAGGTAAAGGACTCAGTTCCACAAGACTGCTCTCCCTTTCAGATGCTGGAAGCAAGCTCAGGTTACTTGTGCTTCTGACATTTGGCTATGGATTGGAAGTTCCAAACCTCCCCTGCAACTCAGAATGCCAGTCTCAAGTCCAGGTTGTCCCCTGTACTTCTGACCCACTGGCTATAAATCAGAGGTTCCCTGGGTTTGATAAATTTGCTAGAATGAGGGACAGAACGCAGGAAAACCGGTTTACTACTAGATTACCAATTCATTACAAAAGATAAGAATCAACAGCCAGATGAAGAGATACGGGGCGAGGTCCTGAACAAAGGAATATCTGTCCTTAGGGTGTTCGGGGCCCAGCAGGTGGAAGCAGTCTGGTTCCCTAGCATGTAGGGCTTACAAGCTGGCTTCCTGAGTTTTTATGGAGGTAGTGATGGGACTGAAAGTTCCAAACCTCTAATCACAGGGTTGGTTCTCCTGGCAACCCAGTTGTCACTCATCTTTATTGGACAATTTTCCCCTAATCTCTAAAGTGACTATTGGACTAGCTGTCTCTGAGGTCCCCTTTAGCAGTAACGTTCTGTGTCATAATTGTGTAGCTAACTTAAACTTCAGCTCCTAATTCACTATTTCCTGTTGTAAAGGGAATGGGTAGTCTGTAGATCTTATTGGGCAGCTCTTCCAGCTCCACAGAACTAGAGTTGTTAGATAAAATACGGTCTGCCTAATTAAATTTGAATTTCAGGTAAACAGCAAGTAGTTTTCTAGTCATCATGCAGTGTTCGAGACAGACTGGAAAGGTTATTTGCTGTTTATCAAATTGAAATGGGTGTTCCTATATTTGTAGTTGCTAAAACTGGCAACCTACAAAAATCCTGAAAATTTATATATAGACATAGAGGAGCTCATAGTAAGGAAAGCAGTGAAGAAGATTGTCAAATACAGAGCTTTTTAGTCTGAAGGGAAGAGGAATGAAAGAGATTATGACATTAATGGGTTGAAACTAGTGGGTTCAACTGATTGAATCTCTGAAGACCACTTCTAGGTCTAAATACTTTTATAAAAAAATTTTAAGTACTTAATTTAAAAAAATATGGTGCTATTGGGGTTATGCAACATTGTGTAACCCTGAGCCACGACCTTGTGAAATCCTTAGAATTGTGTTGTAACAAAACTTGAAAGACCTTGGAACAGTTCAAGGGAAATTAAAATGATTTAAGTCCCAACCAACTTATGTTAATAGATGAATTAGCTTTGTTTTAACATTGTGTTATTTCCTTTTGGTTGCAAATAACAGAAAATTACTTTGGCTTAAATTTAAGCATATTTGATATTAATGTATCTTGTAGAATCCTGGGAGAAGTTGGACATCCAGGCTTTGGGAAGGGAAATGATTTTAAGGATTTTTAATTGAGATATTCCTGAATTTTTCAGTTAATGAGATTTCCAGTCACTCTCTCCAAGCTCAGAGTTTCAGATTTATGAGAGAGAAAATTGGATTTTGGCGAGAAGGGTAGGACCCATATAGTACAGCTCTGGCCTGGACCCTGGATGACTGTTCTCACCTTGAGCACAGGTTCCAGAGAAAAGTGAATATGTTGAGAAGGGTAAGGGAAGTGTCTTTACTATCAATATTTGTAGAACTTTTATTAATGTACACAATTTCATAGAGGAAATGTTAGCATAATATGAAAATTGAACAGATGAAAAATTACTTCCTCTTTCTACTTCTTAAAAATATATATTTGTTGTAACATATTTCATTTGCTTCTTATATAGCATTTCAAGTCCTATTGTTTTTCACATCGTTACCTCATGCGATTGCCCAACCACTAAAAGAGCAAACTGTAATGAGTAAGACGCAGATGTCATGTCTGCAGATGAGGACTTCTCTTCATGGTTTGTCACTTGTTCAAAGAACCTCTTCTAAAAAGAGGTTTTTGGGTAGTGCCAGTCTATTTCTCTTATGAAAAAATTGATTTTAGAGGGTGGGGGAGAGAGAGAAACATCGATGTGAGAGAGAAACATCAGTTGGTTGTCTCCTGTACATACCTCAGCCAGGGATCAAACCCACAATCTAGGTGTGTGACCTGACCAGGAATCGAACCCACAGTCTTTTTGGTGTACAGGGTGATGCTCCAACGAACTGAGCCACCCAGCCAGGGCCAGAGTATACATTTTTACTGTGTATTTCTTTCTCTCAACTTACTTAAAAAAATTTTTTTTATGCCTCTGTGCCTTTGAAAGGGTTATTTTTATCTATCCATAAATGCCCCTGTTTTTTTCTCTTTTTAAGATTTATTCCAAAATAACCTCTGTTTGGACCCCTTTTAGGATAGTTATCTTTCTAAAATGCAAGTCTGAACATGTGGATAACCGTATGCTTAAAACATTGGTTTCCAGTTGCCCTTAGGATGCATTGAAAATTCTTAAAAAGGCTTAAGTGACCTAATCCCTACCAGGGGTGGGCAAACTTTTTGACTCGAGGGCCACAATGGGTTCTTAAACTGGACCGGAGGGCCGGAACAAAAGCATGGATGGAGTGTGTGTGTGAACTAATACATGTTAACACTGCTGCTGGTGAAGGAGCGGAGGGGAGAGCAAGAGAACCCTCCGCTCTTTCGGCTCCGCGGGCCGGATAGAACAGCCGAACGGGCCGGATCCGGCCCACGGGCCGTAGTTTGCCCACGGCTGCCCTAGGCCCTGTTTGTCTGTGTTCATCTCTGGTCACTCGTGCGTCTGTGCCTTCACTGTATGTTCCAACCAGAAGCTCTTTGCCTCGAAGTGGTTGTTCCCATTCTTAGAATCTTAAGTTGTGTACTTCAGCTGCTTATTTTAAAAAAATGAGTTTTCTTTGAGCTCTAAAATGCAGTGATTCTATTTAATAAATTACCTGTGCACCTGCTTTTCTAGTTTCTAGTTAACTGCCTATCTTCCATTGTTCAGTCCATCTGTTGTCATGATGAGACAGTCCATGGGTTGGGTGAAATTAATATTAGAGAAGAGATTGGGGAGAAAAGCAAAGTAGAAAGCCTGTTACTTTCAGCTTCCTTTCCAGGTTACTGATATTAGACATTGCTTAGACTTACTGTGATCACATTCTAATTGAAGCCAGTTCCATGCTACTGGAAGGT